TTTCTTCTTTGGAAGTTTTAAGAGCAGCATTCCCAAAACATGATAATTAATTGATCCATGTTCCTTTGGAGTTTCTGATCGTGTGCAGCTGTCTTGGTCCTCAGCTCTGCCATATTTTAGCAATTTTAACAACACATGAAACATAGAAAGCTTGCTTATCGGGTTTTATGATGACTCCCAGCAGAAGAACATAAGGGATAATTGAATGATGGCTTCAGACTTCAGAAAACTTTTAGTAGATTGAAGCAATGGGTTGAACATAACAGGATGAAATTTTATGGTGATAATTATAAGTAATGTGAACCAAATCTGTATTTGGTTCAAAACAACTGAACAAGCACAGGTCAGGATTTAACAAATCACAGGGTTACGTGAAATCACGGGTTGATATATACTGAAAAGCATTTAAGCCTTAGCCATTCAGAATAAGGACAAATGTACCTGCATACATTCATAGTATAATAATGCTCTCAGGGTCTGTTAGACTAATTTGTTTTCTTCTAATGATCTTGGCAGGTAAAGATGAGATTGAGGAAAGCATTACATGTGAAAGATTTTATAAGTCACCTGAATGTGCTTAAGTAAAACAAGCCCACCATTTAAAGAGGTAGTTACATAGAAATATCACCTACAGGTAAAACTTCAGTTCTCAAGGTTATCAAATTAATAAGGAATCCTTCTTTCCCTTGAATTTCTGAATATTTTTACATTTTACTTACTTTTGTATTTTTTTTTCCCTGAGAGGATCTCATTGAATATTTTACTTACATTTTAATGTTGGGAGAACAACATTGCTGAAGATTTATTGCTTTTTCACAAGATTTAACAGTGAATTATGTGAAACCAAAGAAAGAGATGCTTAAGAATGGGAGCTTGGCTTCTGTATTCTAACCTCTTATGAAATTTTCTTATTGCAGTTTTTTGGATTTGCTGTTGTTTTGTTGGGTGGTTTTTTTTGGTTTTTTTTTTTTTTTTGCTTTTTTTTTTTTTTGTTTTTTTTTTTTTTTTATTTTTTTTTTTTTTTTTTGGTTTTTTTTTTTTTGCTTTTTTTTTTTTTTGTTTTTTTTTTTTTTTTATTTTTTTTTTTTTTTTTTGGTTTTTTTTTTTTTGCTTTTTTTTTTTTTTGTTTTTTTTTTTTTTTTATTTTTTTTTTTTTTTTTTGGTTTTTTTTTTTTTGCTTTTTTTTTTTTTTGTTTTTTTTTTTTTTTTATTTTTTTTTTTTTTTTTTGGTTTTTTTTTTTTTTTTGCTTTTTTTTTTTTTTGCTGTTTTTAACTGTTTAATTCTGTTATTCATTTTAGGATCTAGTTTTTTGTCTTGTCTTTGCATAATAAGAAATATAGCAATGTACTTCTTATGAACAGTGTTTTTCTCTATTTAATGTTTCCTTAATAAAGTTTTGGGATTATTGGTTTGTATTAACTTGGACTGTCTTGGTTGCAAGTGACAGAATTTGGATTTACATTAGCTTAAGCGCAAAAGGCGATACATTGGCACCTGTAACTGAGAAATCTTCCAAGGGAGAAATAGTGTCAGGCTTGTCCTCCAAATGATCTGATCAGGACACTGTTTCTCTTTATCATTCTACCCTACAGTGACTTCATTTTTCACACATACTCATTTTTCACTCCATACTTCAGCCAGTAGCCATTGGCAAAAATACCAGAGAGAAAGACCCACTCTCCCCAGCACCTGTAGCAAAGAACTCTGAGAAAGAGTTCTGGTTATTCTTGTTTGGGTTATATTCTCACCAGTCACTTGGAGCCAAGAAGGAGCAATTTCTAAAAGGGAGGGATGTGCGACAGAGGAAGTAAGACATGTGTACAACATAGCTCAAAAAGAATGAACATTTTCATCCTCCTCTCTCTCCTCAGAAAGGGAAATCTGTGTTAGAGATAATGGATTATGCACCTAGCAGACTCAGCATTCCAGTGTCTGGAGCATTTAATTTGAGAGCTTTGAATCTGCTAATGTTTATTTTACTGATAACTAGATTAGTAGTCGGTGGAACAGATATGTAAGATTGGTGTCTACTAGTCATTCACCTTATCTGTAATACTTTCTGAAATTGCTATTGAAGATATTCATTATAGTTGATAGTATATATTGAGTATATAGTACAAAGTTACCTACTGACCAGGAACTATGTAGAAATTTAGCTCTCGAAGATACTTGAAGAGTCATTTCTTAAAGTGTAGCTAACATTAGAAAAGGCAGAATAGAAAAATGGATCTTTTCTTTCAAAGGCCACGTCAAAAATAGACTGATTGGCAGTTGCAGTTGAGGTCAGTGTCTTTACCTGTTTGGATACTGGCAGTGGTGGACAAGAGGAAAAAAGTGGGGAGTGATAAGAGGAAAAAGTGAGAAAACAGGTGGAAGCCAAATGCAAGGATAGGAAAGAGAAAAGAGGTGGCTACAGTGAGACAGTGCCCAGGGGTTTTTGGTGCTAAAGGTTTCCAGTCTTTCCTGAGCTTTATCTTCTCTGTGCTGAATGGTCAGTGTTTTTTCTATTGACATGTTATGCTCATTTGGAGATGTGCATATTAAACCCTTTTGTTCTCCAAAATTATTCTCACTTCTAAGGAGCATCTCTAGTTTTTTGTTTGTTTGTTGTCTTAATTCAATTTTTTAAATAAACCTACAATGTCTATAAAACATTTTCCTGTGAGTGTCTTAGTCCATTTCGTGCTACAGTTACGGAATACCTGAGACTGGGGTAATTTGTAAAGAAGAGAAATTTATTCTCTCTCAGTTCTGGAGGCTGGGAAGTCGAAGATCAAGGCTTCTGCAGGTTACGAAACACCCAGTCTCTCTGCATCCAGGATGGTGCCTTGAATGCTGTCCTGACGGAAGGAACATTGCATCCTCACATGGCAGAAAAACAGGAGAGGAACCCATTCCCACAAGCCCTTTCTATAGTGGCATTAATCCATTCATGAGGGATCCACCCTGAGTTTTGGAGGGGACAGAAACATTCAAACCACAGCAGCAAATAAATGTTCAATAATATTTAAATGTGTAAGAGTTTCCATTTCTTTATTTTTGACTTATTTCACATTCTGTTTCACCAAATTGTAAGTTTAGTAAACAAGAGGCTTAGGTATTCTATATTTGGGGACTAACTGGATTTAGCTGGATAAAAAAAAAAGGCAAGCGGGATTCTTAAGAAATAAGAACAAAACAGCAGGTTCCTCCTTGGCTCCATGGTAACACACCGGGCTCCCCTGGCCGTTGCGGGGGGAGGCTTACTTCCTTCCAGCTCATGCATTTATCTGCTATCTGCCCCTCACTGCACGAAGGATGGAGGTTGATGCGACATGTTTTTAAAAAGTACTCCGCAACATGACAAGCAGAATTCTATCTCCTTTTGCAGCTGTGTGAGAAAAATCCCTCAGTATGGTTTCTTGGTCCTTGGTAAGGAAGGCTGAGGCGCGACAAGGTTGGCTCTGCCCAGTCTGTTCTTTAAGCCCCTTCCCAACCGCTTAGTGTACAGAAGTAAAGGAGTTGATGATATTTCTTGAGCGACAGGCTCTACACTACTGTTTGTTCCTTCTTAACATTTTATTAGGAAAAATCTCAAACATGTAGAAAAGTTGGAATAATTTTCCATTGAACACCATAAACCCACCATCTAGATTCCATAAATAACATTTTGTAGTACTTACTTTATCACATATTCATGTCGATCCATCTTAGTATTTTAGTATGTGAGTTTTTTCCTAATCTTTTATCACTAGATGTTTTTTCCTAATCTTTTATGACTTAATCCTCATTAAAAGAGTTTCAGGCACCATTAGGCACATGGGAGAAAAGCAGAGGTGAGTGAGAAGAAGGGCCGTGCAGTCTTTTGCCATATGGTAAGCGTTCAGCACATATTTGTTCAGTGGGTGCATTTCCATTAGGCCTGATTGATGAGCCCTGTAGGTTAACTTGAATTTGCCTTTTTTTTTGGTGCAACTGGCTGGTAAGGGGATCCAAACCCTTGACCTTGTTGTTACCAGCACCATTTTCTCCCAAGTGAGCTAACTAGCCAGCCCTGAATTTGCCTTTTAAGACATTTACTTTTAAAACAAATCATATGTTTCCTGGGCACATGTGAGCATCAGTTTATAAGATGGACTTCTAGAAGATAGTCCATGAAAGACAACTGTTTAAAATTTGAAATGGATTTTAAAATATGTACTTATTTTATATGTACCTTTATAATATATGTGTATATATATTTTACAACAGTGATTCTCTCTCTTGGAATATGTGCATGGCAGTGTTCCAAGAATCCCACATTTCTGGATTGCTGCCTCAAGAATCCTCTCAAGGAAGAGGCTGGAAGAGCAGTCCCTCCTCACACCAACCAGAACAGCTTCCCTTTAGTTTGTTCTGTTTGAAATAAAGATTCCATTTCAGGAAAGAGTTTGAAAATCACAGCTGTTCAGGTAACATAACCATCACACAAAGCCCTGTGTAAGTCATAGTACAGTGGAAGGTATTACAGTAGAAAAGTATGCCTGAAACTTAAATTTCTGAGTTAGTATGGCTAGGGATACTGCATTATCAAAATTCATTCTAGTGGCTGGAATAGATCAGGAGTAGTGAGAGTTTTAATAGCAAGGAATTCTTCTAAAGATGTGTGAATCTTATACGTGTGTGCATGTGTGCATGTCTCTTCAGTTCCTGAGACTTCCCGGAATGAAGGATATGTGTGTTTCCACTTCTTACCTCCTAAAAGGCAGGGCATACTTTTTCTTCTTTAATGAAATGGGTGTATTTTGAGTTACTTTTTGTAGGGTTGATTTCTAACTTCCCTGCCTGTGAAACAGAGCAGGGACAGTCACCACTGGTGTTATTCTTCCTCACGGTAAAGCTGATGAATCCCTTTGGTAATATTCTTACTTCTAAAACAACACAGCCACTGTCATGTGTAGACCGTCATGTGCACGAGTGAACTGTAAAGGTGGTCTGGCTTTTCACTGTTCCGCTTGCATTTGTAACTCGCTCTTCTCCTCTCCATTCTCAATAGGCTCGGGTTATGTATGATTTCGCTGCTGAACCAGGAAATAATGAACTGACAGTTAATGAAGGAGAAATCATCACAATTACAAATCCGGTAAGAGAGCTACACATTTAACTCTGAGTGTTCCTTATGGACTTATTTTTAAGATTTTATTTTTTTTGATAAGTTGATCATTCACACTCACATGCATTTCTTTCTGTTGCTTATGAAGTATTGATGGTGAAGTAAGAAGCTGTTATATAAACATTGAGAAAAGCTAAGTACCTTAAAGATAGTTGAGTACATAATTAAATTTATGATGTCGCTTTATTTTGTATCTTTTTCAAAATGCTTATAATTTTTTCCTTATTATTTAAAACCTTTGGGCACCCTATAATTGTTCTGGAATTTAGTTTAGTATCCTTTCTCCTAGTACCATTTTACTGTGTCTCTAGAGTAGATAAGAAATGGTGCTGGTTTTCCTAAATATCTTAGATTATTGATGGCCATCATTGTTTTTCTAAACTTTATCCTCAAATTGAATAAGATTACCAGAAAACAATATATATTTAGACTATATTAGTTTAGCTCTCAATGGAGTTATCTTTGCTGAATTACAAGTTATTGCTTCAGCTTTTACTCAAATAAAAAATAACTATATGTATAACAAGCATTTCTGCATCTTTACAAAACCATGTTTGAACATGTATGTGTGTAAATATATACATGAATATATACACCACCTTCAAAGTATGCTCATATATATATATATATATATACAGGAGGGTACTTCAGAAAGTTCATGGAGGGAATACTTATTCTGTTTTATGAAATAATATGTTGCCCAATTCTAAAACTGCAATAAAGCCAATTGAGATCTTTTAAAAAAAAAAAAAGTTTGGGCTGGCCCGGTGGCACACTGGAGAGTGCGCTGCTTGGGAGTGCGGCGGCGCTCCCGCCGAGGGTTCGGATCCCATGTGGAGACCGGTTCCCGCTCACTGGCTGAGCGTGGTGCGGGCGCAACACCGAGGGTTGTGATCCCGTTGCCGGTCCCCGGTGTGGGTGTGACACCGAGGGTTGCGATCCTGTTACCGGTCATTAAAAAAGACAAAAAGGAAAAAAAAAAAAAGTTTGTGGAAAGATTTTTATTATCTTTTAATTGTGTTTTTCCACAAATTTTTTTAAGTACCCTCCTACACATACACACACTCATCTTCAAACGTGTATGAGTATATGTATGTATCCCTGCTCGTGTACCTTAGTATATCTCTGCTGTCTCTCTCAAACATCCATGTGATGGATCTTTTGTCTCAGGTTCTTTTTCTTGGAGATTTGGCATGTTTCTTTAGATAAAATAAAATCTTTATATGCTATTGAATTTCTTTTATGATCTTTGTTATCAGGAAACTCAGAGGCAAACATAATATTCATTTTTTTCAATCATCTTAGCTTAAGTTCATGTTACAGTTTTTCCTATTACTTCTGTGTGATACTTGCCTCAATATGTTAATTGTCCTTTCCTATATGTAACTTCACTTTACATGTCCTTCAAGTATATAGCAAAATTATCAGATGAACCTCATTTGAAATAAAGTCTTATGAAAAATTACTCAACTAGTATTTCATTCAAAGCTTATATTGATGGAGAAGGAACAAAAGCGGGTACGGAGAATTAGTCTTTGTGGTTGTAAAATTAGTGAAACTTTAACCCGTTACTGCTCCCTCTCTTCACACCCCGAGCACTGCTGGGAGTGGCTGACTTTTGTGACAGTGCCCTTTGCATCTTTCTGGCCAGCCCTGGGTCTCACACTGTGCCGGCTCCCTCGTTACAGTCACTCACAAGCTTAATACATATGCAGTCCTGGGCTAAGTACCTGGGAGATACAGAAATAGAAAACTTAGCACTTGCCCTGTGCTCCTTGTTTTTCAGAGAGGTCTGCATGCCTTACTGAATGTTTCCAGCAAGGGATATCCTTGCATCTGACACTGTAGAATGTGTCGGATTCTATATGGCTTTCCATTTACCTCTCCAGCCATCCTTTTTTGGTCCCCTCTTCTTTTTGCCTCATGAATGTTGGTGTTCCCACATCTTTCCATCTTTAGCCCATTTTTCTTATACTGTACCTTCTCAGATTTTTTTATTGCCACTTATGTGCTGTTAACTTTAAATCTGTATTTGCAGCTTGACCATGCCACTCAAACCTCATTTGGATATCCAGCTGTGTCTTAGACATCTTTATTTAGTTTTTCAAACTTGCCGTGCACAGGACTCAGCTCATCACCTATCCTGTTCCTGAATTCTCTCTATTTATATTGTGATGCCTCCGTCCATTCAGTCTCCCCAACTAAGAGCCCTGACTTTAAGTCACATAAAGCCATTGGCTTTGATCTCTTAAGTATCACTCACATCTGCCTCTTCTCTCCACTCTGTCGCTGCTGTCAAAGCCCGTAGTTATGCTCTCATCTTCTTACCTGGATGGTGTACCTTCCTCAAGTCCCTGGTCTAAAATGCCAGTCTGACCTTGTCACTCCTCTTGGATAGCTTCCTATCACCTCACCATCCAACCCTCTCTTAGCCTTTCCGGCCTTGCTCTGTGTGTGTGTGCACAAACACATCACACTGTCTCTCGTGCATGCATATGCACCTGCACACATGCACATGCCCCTCATGTACACTCGCTCTCACATGCACTTTCTTTCTCTCTCACACACACATACATACGCACACACACAGTCCTATGTGTCATGACTTTGCTCTCTTCCTCGCGTCGTTCCTCTGCCTGACATTCCCTTTTCCACTTATTGCACCCCCGATCTCTCTCTGCCACAAAACAAAACAGAAAATACTGTCTTCCTACTTTCCTCGTTGCCTTAAAAGAGGTCTTCTCCAGAAAGAAGGAAGCCTTTGGTGCTGGCCCTGTGTGCTCTGTGATGCCCATAAGACTGCACCTGCCAGTGCTGTGCCTGCGGTGGCAGACTGTAGTGACTTTATCTGTCTGCTCCTGCCTCCCACATTAAACTGGGAATTTCTTGAGGCTGAAAACCACATCTTATTCTTTTATTTTCTTACCCATAGTGTATTATACTATGTGTACTATTTAGCGTAATGTAAGCACATATTTTTATTTTTAAATTATTTTGTAAAATTTCAAATACATACCAAAGGAGAGAGAGTACATTAATGAACACCTTTGTTCTTATTATCTTGTCATCCAGCTTCAGTAGTTATCAGCCTGTGGCCAATCTTGTTAGCCTAATATCAACAGCCACATAAATTTGCTGACTTATAAATAAAGTTTCTTTTAGCTTAAAAATCTCATTAACATATTAATACCAACAAACAGTGTTAGATACATACAACCTCAAGTTTGACAGATTAGTAAAGAAGATCACATTTTCTATAACTCTTCTATTTATTAATCTATTTCATATTTTCTAGTTTTATATTCTGGGATTACATGTCCTAGAAAATATAGTCAGCATGCTTTTTTTTTTTTTTTTTTTGTCTTTTTTCGTGTCCGGCAATGGATCGCAGCCCTCAGTGTCGCGCCCGTACCGAACCGGGACCGGCAACGGGATCGCAACCCTTGGTGCTGCGCCCGCACCTCGCTCAGCCAGCGAGCGGGAACCGGTCTGTATGTGGTATCCGAACCCTCGGCGGGAGTGCCGCTGCGCTCCCAAGCGGTGCACTGTAGCAGTGCGCCACCGGGCCGGCCCTAGTCAGCATGCTTTTATTACTTAAAATGAAAGCATTGTAGGCTTGAAATTAATTCAAAATATTTTTTTACTCCATAAAGTTTCATTGGGCACCTGCAGTGGATGAGGCTATGTACTCGGTACTCTGAGGAATAGTAAACGTGAAGATATATGAGATTTCTTCCCCTTCTCTCTAAGGAGCTTGTGATACAAAAGAGGAGAAATTCAAGGTGCTAAACAGAAAGTTTCTAAGCTGTTGACAAGTTGCTGTTCGCAGTTCAACAGAGGAAGAGCCTATTTCTATTTGTGTTTTAATCAGGGCAGGCTTTAATGCAGAAGATGAAATCTGACTAGATAGATCTTGGAGTATGGATGGGGTTTCATCAGACAGAAGTGAAAAGACACCCCAGGCACAGAGCACAGTCGGATCAAAGCTGTGGAGGTTTGAAAGCATTCGGTGTTTTTTTAGCAGTCTCAGCGACACTTACTGACAGCCTCTGAGCCAGGTGTTTGACTAAGTACAATGTATATATTCTCCAGTGCATGTTCCCCATGAACTCTGTAAGGAAGGTATTTTTAATCTGTTTTACAAGTGAGAGTAGTGAGACTCAGAGAAATTAACTTGCCCAAGATCATTCTGCTTGTAAGTAGCAGAACAAGGAGTCAGGGCCACATCTGTTTGGCCTGGAAGCCTCTGCTTTTTCTTCTCTGCTGGAGAACATTAAATGTGAACAAACGTCCCAGGTTGCAGGGTATGCATGCATATACACCAGTAGCAAACAGGCTAAGGAAACGGGCTCTTAGGACCAGATCAGATGGTGCCTGTGGACCTCGTCTGGTAAACAGTAGATTCATTTAAGAGTTTTGCTTGGGTTTTATTGCTGATATTGTTATAGGGAGATGACATGATGAGATCTCCACTTCAAGGAAATTAATCTTGTGAGGTGTAGAGAAGGAATTGATGTGGCTGGAGTCTAGGGACATGACCTTGGGCAGTGGCAATGAGTTGAAAGAAGGTGGATGCAGGAGGCTTGCAGAGTCAGACCTGTAGGACATGGTGCTTGATTGGATACCATGGGTGAGAACAGAGTCCAGGGTCACTGAGGTGTTTGGCCTTTGCACCTGAGAATGGTAGATTTACAAAAGTATGGAAGTCACGTAAAAGAACTTCTTTGGAAGGATTACCTGAATTTAGTTTTAGATATGGTGAGTGGAAAGAATGGTAAATAGTTAGCCCGGCCCTGTAGCTCCGCATCAGTTTGAAACTGGAAGTGCAGAACTAGAGATCAGGGCTGGAGCTGGGCAGGCTCCCTGGCCATCTTAAGAGTAAGCCTGTAAAGGTAGGTGACAGGAAGGCTGAGGATGCCCTCTAGGAGAAGGGAAGGAGGAGATGCTGGTGCATCCCACCAGGTGGGAGGAAAGAGCCAGGACCACGGCAGCATCAGGATCAAGGAAGGAGAACATGGAATAGCAGAGGGGCCGGTAGTTTCTTAACAGTGGAGCATTTTGAAAACCTGCTTTTATATGTCTTGGATACAAAGAAGAATTACTGGGTAGAAAAAGTATATGTAGTAATAAAACCTGCTTTTATATGTCTTGGATACAAAGAAGAATTACTGGGTAGAAAAAGTATATGTATATGTAAAAGTATATGAGGTTAAATGCTAGGTATATGTAAGTAAGTAGATTTCATTTTTCACCATAAGAGAGATTAAAGATTCTTTTATTTTCCCATCTAATTTTTTGAAATAAAGTATTTCTTCATTTTCTTGGTAAAACAGTACTGTCATCAAGTTGCTGTTGTGGTCCAAAGTGACAAAATTATGGCTTACAATAATTTTTTTTTTTAATGTGGTTATCTAGATTCAGATGATTATTAACTGATTAGGGCACTATTTACAAGCTTAAAATTAAAACTCTTACTGTTTTAAGAGAACAAAGTGGGACTTTGCTGAGATAATAGATTGAAAAATGGGAATCTTGGTATAGAGTTCTACTGTATTATTTAGTTTTTTAATATTATTTAGCCGGAAGAACTAAGGAACCATGGATCAGTTAGCTTTTCCTGCATAACAGACAATCCCAAAACTCAGTGGTTAAAACCAATAACCATTTGTAACTGCTCAGGAACCTACAAGCCAGCCGATGGTTCTCTGGTCTGGGCTGCTTATGTGTCTGCAGTAGCCGGTCACCATTTGTGTCTGGCCGTTCTCCTGCCAAGGGTTGGCTGGCGTTGGATGGGGCAGCAGAGAGACTGGACCTTGTCTCTGTCATCATCTAGCAACCCAAATTTATTCACATAGCGGCTTGGAGTTCTAAAACAGCAAGCTGAAGTGGACAGAGGCCCTTGAGGCCAGCTCTGGACGCCCCCAGTTATTTCCATGTCGATCTAGTGGCCAGATCTCAGGGCTGGGGATGTGTGTTCTGCTGCTTGACAGTGCAGCCACAAGCCTCTTTTGTCATCTGCCACAGACCAGTGAATGGAAAGGAATCACTGAACGGTGGTCCTCTAAAATAGGCTGCTTTTCAGTCTTTGATTACTTCTTGTTGAGGTTTGATTTCTGTTGTTTTTAGATTATGTCATTTTCTGGAGTAAAGAGAATCCTTAAGAATTTAAAATTTTGAACAGTGTTAGCACTGTAGGAATAAAAAGCTTACTGTTCATTACTTTTTATGTCTAACAGTTCCTAAAGCACAATTTCTGCAGGAAATTTCAACTGTAATCTTTTTTTTTTTTTTTTTTGGTAACTTTACCAGGATGTTGGTGGAGGATGGCTGGAAGGAAGAAACAGCAAAGGAGAACGAGGGCTTGTTCCCACAGACTATGTTGAAGTAAGAACTTACTGCCCTTCATCACTTAAAGCTGATCTGTGTCAAGCGTCTCTATGAATCAACTTAAAGCATAGACAGGAAGACAGCAACTTTTTAAGAAATAAATGCTAATTATGTAAAATATGGAAGATACATTGATGTAGAACTAAGAAAAAATATTACCTATAGACCCAAGCTTCAAAGAGTGATGACAAATATTTAGATGAAGTTCCTTTCAAGAATAGCAACTTTTAATTATTCTGAATCAGAGTCCCTATTTTTCCTGTATTACCTATAGACCCAAGCTTCAAAGAGTGATGACAAATATTTAGATGAAGTTCCTTTCAAGGATAGCAACTTTTAATTATTCTGAATCAGAGTCCCTATTTTTCCTGCGCTAATAGTGTGTAATAGCTGCTGCCCGCAATACTATTCGTTGTAGAATTGATCCACAAAGTCGAAATAGATTATTTGAGGTACACACCTCTCAGTTCTTTTCCCATTCCTGTAGCCAGAAGGGTGTCTTGAATGAGCTCACAGCCTAGGTTAGGTTCTGTGATCCCAGGTAGCCAGGACCGTGTTACAGCACCTGAAGGAGCTCGCCCTGCCTGGGACTCGCCCGCTCAGCAGGCAAGAGCCCTCTTCTGAGTCAGCCGCTGCCGCCCCCTGCTGGCTGGCTGTTGGTCTCTCAACACCGAGTACTAGGTACTTGGTGAGCTTGCCTCTCATCTTGTGTGAGAGAAACTAAGGTTGCCTGGTTCCCTGTGAGTCAGATTAGAGATAAAGCAAGAATTTGGTTCACCTCCAGTAGAGAGGAAGAGCGCCCCCGGGAGGATGTTCATCTGGGATGTGGCCGCAGAACGGGAAGGAAGGTTGTCTTTCTCTTGTTCTTGATTGAGAGTGAGGGATGGGGAGTTTTAAACCCTCTGGAGAATATGATGAAATCTGTGGACTTTATTCCAGAAGTGTGAGCACATGCACACACCCCAGCCTCTCCCATATGTTTCAGATAGTTCACAGGCTCCAGAACTCGGTCCACAGGTCTTATGTTTATGTTCTGTTTTAGCTCTATGCCCTGTGTATCCAGGATTCTAAAAATTGACAAGACTGAGAAAAATCTGAGGATTTAAGTTGATATTGGCATTAATTGCATTTTCTAGAATTCTGCTTACTCTTAGAAAGGGATAGATATTATTCTTGGGTTTGCTCATCTTTTAAGAATATAAACCCCCCTCTATCAGAAATGGACAGATCCAGCAGGCAGAAAATTAGTAAGGACATAGTTGAACTCAATAGCACTATCTGTCAGCTGGATATAATGGATATCTATAGTCTACTTCATCAAGCAGCAGCAGAACACACATTCTTCTCGAGCTCACGTGGGACCTTCACTGAGACAGACCATGCTCTCAACCATAAAACACACCTCAATGCATTTAAAAGAAGAGAAATTATACAGTGTCTGCTCTCAGACCATAGTGGAATTCAACTAGAAATCAATAGCCCAAAGATAGCTGGAAAATCCCAAAATACTTGGAGATTTAATAACACACTTCTAAATAACACATGGATCAAAGAAGAAATCTCAAGAGAAATTAAAAAATAGTTTGATTTAAATTAAAAGTGAAAATATAACAAAATACATGGAATGCAGCAAAAGCAGTGCTCAGAGGGAAATTGATAGCATTGAAGACTGTAAACCTATTTTTCACAATTCTTGCTTGTCCTCAGAGACTAACTCTGCAATGACCATAATCTAGGAAAATAATTGTGGTTCTTTCTAATATTCAGATTTTACCCAGTGATGGGAAAGATCCGTTTTCTTGTGGAAATTCAGTGGCTGACCAAGCCTTCCTTGATTCCCTCTCAGCGAATACAGCACAAGCCAGTTCGTCAGCTGCCAACAGCACCAACCAGGTATGTCTCACATCCTGCTGCAGGGTGTGGCTGGCTTTACTGAGAGAAGTGCATTTGTGAAAGCTCGTGAGGCTTTATGGCTATTGCCATTCCTGGAAAGCATAAACGTTTTTGTGTGGTGTTTCTTTTGGGTATTAACAAAGAACTCACCTGTTAAGCCTGCTAAAGACTGCTTTTAAAACTGATTATAAGAGAAAAGGCATGGCATAGAGAATTACTTTTAAGCCTGTCATGATATGAACACAGACTCCAGAAGTTGCAAATACTCCCTCAAATGAGGGCATAGAAAGCAGAGCAGCATCCTGTTCTTGAGCAGTGACAGAGCTTCAGCTGGATCAGAAAACGGCTTCTCTCACCTTGGCACGTTGCTTACGCTGTCAGAGCTAGCGTCCCCTCGTCCTGCAGGTGGAGCAGTGCATGCACAAGTCACTAGCGGGTCCAGGCACTCAGCACTTGGAACTATTACTGTATTGCTTCTAGAAAACTTAGAATAGTGGGATAATTTAAGAAAAATACAGTGAAATTTTACACCAATCTTAGTTAGAATTTGACCAGTTTAGGTGAATCTGCCTAGTTCACTGTTAAATGGTTATCCAGAGTGAGTGACAAGAAGAAAAATGCGAAGATGGATATCAAAATGTTGTTGCTACCTACATCTTTAGAAATAAATTGTCTTTCGGAAATATTATTTCTTGATTTTTTTTCAACTACGTAAAAGATTTTAAAGTATGTCAAGCCTAATAATCATATCACTTATCATTATTTGCTTACAGAATATTTCTATATCTTAACCTTCCAAGAGAGTTTATCAAAGTCCTATTACTATATATTAGCTGATTTTATACACTTTAAAATAGCTTTTTATAAAACCCTGAATTACAAATTAGTCTGACCCAGATACTTAAAATTTGGAGGCTAAGTGATCACCATAATTAAATAGTTTTCTATATTTTGCTACTCTGTAATACTTGAGAACATTGGCCAGTTAATGGTTACTCACTGTGAAATGTGTAGAAATAGTAGTTACACCTGACTTGAAGTTTTCCCAGGGATTTTCAGCTCAACCACTATTGACGCTTGAAGCTTGATACTTCTTCATTGTGGGGCCTGATCTGTGCTCTCCAGGGTACACAGTGGCCTTCCTGGCCTCTGCCTACTAGATGCCGGTAGGATCACCCTCAGTTTTGACAACCCAAAATGGCCCAGATATTGCCAAGTGTCCTCTAGTAGCAAAGTCAGCCCAGCTGAGATTCACTGATTTATACAAAAACATCCATGAAATTGGTTCGCATTAAGTAAAAGGCAACATTATATTAAGAGGGAATTATAATGAGGTGATCATAGGATAAGTGAAGGAAACAAAAGATAGAAATAATCATCTTATTTTAAGTCCAGGTACCTACTTCAGCCATTATCTCAGGGTAGGCCAAAGCACTTTAGCTAATGAACACAAATTCAAAATCAGATTCAAATCTTGTTCTGTTATAAATTCCTTTGTATTTACATGTAGCAAAATTAACTTTTTTTCTTCTAGGATATTTTGAAGGTAATATAAAAATATTAGATCTCACCAATGCAATCTTACATTAAATCTAATCAAATCCTTTGAAAACAAAAAGAGAACTGAAACTAGAATTAACAAAATCCAGAAAGCATGCCATAATTAATTCGGGCATTTCAATTTAATTTAAATCAAGTAAAAGTATTTTTAACAGCTATCTCTGGTCCTGGTTATCTGGGATATGAGGACAATTTAAATAGGCCAAAATTATGATACGTTTTATAAATACCATGAAAGATGTCATGAGAGAGTAAGAAATCAGATGACCATTATTAATTAGTAGTTTTAAAAATTTTGCTGTCAGTTTGCTCATTCTTTCATTTTCTGAATGTCAATAAGAAAATATTACATTTGTCCCAGGGATGTGTTTCTTAGGATGTTCCGATTGCTCTGGCGTGTGTCTCCCAGGGGACACTTGTTCTGAGGGCAAGTTGGTCAGAGAAGCCAGGCCTCTCCACCTGGGCACGTCTTCTCTCAGAGTTGTGTCTCTTCAGCTCAGCACACCATGCCAGCTTCTGAGCCTGTGTCTGTTTACTCTTCACAGCATCAATTAGTTTAAATTTGTTTCTCTTC